TCAACAATACGCGCGAAGAAACCCGGCACCTTATCCAAATACAGTCTCGTTAAACATGTAGCTTGCAAACGTGTAAGCTATGGAGGAGCAATGCACAAGTTGTCTAACATCGCTGTACGTGAAACATGGACCGCTGTCTACAGCTGTGTGAGATGTGTTTTCAACAGTACGAGGTCGATATATGTATAATATTTGTTGGGGACACGACAAGAACGTCTGACTTGAGGCTTGTTTAATGCTTACGATCCCCAGGCCCCCAGCTTATGATTTTGTTCCAGCTAAAGATTTTTCGAGTTTTAGGGTTCCAAACCCTATCCAAACATTCTCTGATTTGTGACTTTGTTTTTGGCTCCAGGGTGTGAGCTTGATCCATTCAGTCACTGTGTCAGTACTTTCAAATATATGATTCACGTCAACAGATTGACCGTGACGGGATAGGCATATACGTATGCGCTTAACATTCGTATATATAGTACGTGTATAAATTGCATCCCGGGACACACACACAGACCCATCGCGCCAGCTACAATGTCAACTGTTGGCAGCCGTAAAGTATTTCACCTACGCGTAAGCAAGCGCACTGTGATTGTGGTAACACTCAAGTTACTGCCAGAGATAGCCGACAGGTTTGACGACGACATGCTGGCGGACTTTACAAACACGATGAAAGCCCCACTGATTGATCGCATGGTGTACTTCGAAAGCGCGGATAAGGTCAAGGAAAAGGATCTTAAAACGATACGCATAGTGGAAGGTATTTCAAGTAGCCTTATTCCGTCGGAACGTTCATGTTCTTCTTCACGCTGTGTAACTTGTTGTACCGGTTCGTAAGTGTTTAAAGTATGGGTAGAGGTGTACATCAAGCCTGCAACTTACACACAACAAACTTGCACTCTGTACGCTGAATCGTATGTGCAGGGGGAACTATCAAGGTTGCCTATCATTTCGAGCTGGACGATTCACGAAGCGCCATAGTCAAGGTAGGGGCTTCACTGCGTTGCGAAGTTTTGGTTTCTTCATTCCGCTGGTGTTTGCGTCTGATTTTGGCAGCAGGCACAAACACATGCGCCCATAGGGCTATGGTCTTATCCTGTAACGTGTATGTCAAGGATGGCGTTTGAATTAAGGGCTGTCCGTGTTGCGTTTTGTGGCTTGTTCTGTCCCGTTCGTTAAAGTGGGCAGGGCGCCCAGGCACTTGCACTTCATATCTTCTTTAGTCACTTATTCAGTGTATCTAGCGGCACTATCGTGTGTAACCATTTACCATGGCTGTACGCACCGGAGCACCTTTTGGTTGCATGAATGGACAATGCAATGACTGTGGAGTATTAGTATATTCGCTGCATTGTTGTAACCTTAACCTGATGCATGTGTTTAGCTTGATTGATGTCACCCGCCGTTGTGTATTCCACGTTCATATGCACTCAGTGGGGAAAATAGCACACACCCGATACTAGGCACCCCATACGGGAGTACATATGAGGGCTGTAGATATCCACGTGTTCACACCGAAACCGATGCAACGTATAGTTGTATTTGACTTGTATCGGTTTGCTCTGCAACACTGCGGTCTCGTACTGTCCACCCACACACTTCGATATCCTTTGGTACTTCGCAGCGTAAGGAGGACTGTGAGAAGTCTGGCTACAACGGGTTTTTCACATACAAGTACAGCTTGGTCGCTACGCTGAGTCCGTCTGCGGTGAATCCTTTGATGCTCCTGGAGGCCTGAAATGTGTGAGATAGCCGTTTTAGCCTATGGTAAGGCCCTGCGTAAGGCCTATGAAAAGGCCCTGCGGTGTCTGAGATAGATATCATGTGAGAACCATTCAGCTTCCTATCACAAGAAGAGAGAGAGAGAGTAAGACGTGCATGTTTCTTCGCTTGGTTGCTGATCATGTCAGAATCATTCAGCTGCCTATCAGTAGAAGAGATGCATGTAAAGGCGGGAGGTGGTACTATCAGCGGGCGTCGTAAAGGGGGTGGTACTAGCAGCGAGCGTCGTTAAGGAAGTGCCAGTTCTAATGCATCCTTAGCACTCTGCGCCGAACGGAAGCAGTGCAGGCAGTCTCGGCGTACGATGCCATGACACACTACAGTGTGGTACTTATTGAGCAGTTATTCTACTCTTGGCCCCTATGTCTAAAGATGAGAGGTGCTGCTATGGGTGGTTGGACGGTGTGAATGTGTACTACTGTGGTCGAGTTTATCTTCATCTGCTAGGGCTATCGTAGCAGCAGGCGTGCAAGGCCAACAGACAGCCCCACACCTGCCAGTATCTACGATTGATGGACATATAGTTGGATGCCGAGCGCCGACCGCGAAGTATTATAGGGCATACAATAGCCTTGAATATGGGGAAAATAAGTCTTATTCTGATAATCAAATGGGGTTGTCTCTCCGAATTGAACCGTTTCCACATGCCCAGTACACAGGAGCGACACTTCGAAGCGAAGTATTATAGGGCATACAATAGCCTTGAATATGGGGAAAATAATTC